AACGAGAGAGATATTGATGTAACTTACCGTTTCATCGATCCAAGTCAAATTGAGATATATGACAGAGGAAAGAGAGATTTCAGAAACTTATCATTTGATGTGAATCAATGCTTACTTTGGCTATGTCAAGACAAGGAGGCATATTCTCGATCAAGCAAGAGTCTCCCGGATAATCATAAATAGTAAAAATCTTCAATCTAGAGGAATCTATAACCAGAGACTTATCTCCTTCATCATTGGGATTCGTATACCTTAAGAGTTGTAAATAAGGAACTTTCACACTGAAATTTGTCACATTGTCATTCTCATTCTCATTTGCACCACATACAAATTTTGGAGAACATAACAACTTGATAATAGCCTAACAAGGGAATCCTCGTCTTTATAGACCACATAGAAAAGCTCGAGGTCTACAAGCGAAGGGAGGAAAACTGGAAGGGACATCAATGAGAATCTTATTTGGTAGATTCAATTTCTTGAGCGTTTTGCATGTGTATAGTCTCTTAGACAAGCTGACCAAAGCATATTGAAATCTAGACATTGAATGTAGCGTTCAACAACGATATCAACGCAGTTCCTGACATCTACGTCAACAGGGCATGTTGAACCGAGTTCAACTTCTAATTGTTCTAGTGCGGGTGCCTCGTAGAGCTGTAATGACCTGTAGAGGAACCACCATCATCGCCTTAAAAGGGAAGACGAACCTATTCAAAACTATGAAGCTGTGGTGTTAAAGAGGGAAGAATCAAAGATGATTATGCAACTGTTTTTTACCAACCAAGATTATAATTGATGGAACAACAAATTAGGATGTGATAAGCTAAGATGATGATGAAACCCTATACATGGTCCATGGATTCTAAATCCTCTTTCATCTTTTGTTCCTTCTCAAGTCTTCCACTCAAAGATCTCCAGATGAGACAACAAGCATTCAGGTACAGAACTCGGTTGGTTCCACGAAATTGGAAAATATCTCGAGCTTGTCTGAGAAACAACGAGGAAGAATTACAAACAAAAACAATTACTCTGAGTTTAGCCCATCAACGTAAGTAAGATTACATATACGAAGAGAAGAAAGAAAGATTTGTAGGTAAAAAAAATAGTTACCTCGGTCAAAAACAAACTGAGAAACATGGCAGAGGAAAGACATGTCAGAAATTTATAATTCTGGTGAGAACCAAAGCTAGAAAACACTTTACAATATATCGCAAAAAATTAGAGAAAATTGGTTCTAAATATAAAAAAAAATTATATAATAAACTTTTTACATAAACTTCCTTTCTGTTCCATGTGTTATATGTGCGGCTATGCCCTAACTCTTGCCCTATCCTCAATGCTATATATATATAATAACAACGCCACACCCAACCAGTGGCGGAGCCAGAAACTTTTTTTATTAGGGGCATAAAATATTAAAAGTCTAAGATAAATATAAAATTGAACGAAAAAGTAATTAAAAAGCAGTCTCCTAAATAGAAAAGTTTCTTAAAAATGTTAATAAAACTT